CCTCACAACAGGATCATTATAGACGTTTTCTTCTATGGTTTTTTTTTTAACCTGGAGACTGTTTCATTATCACCTCTGTGTGGGGTGCAAAGCACTCACGCTGAAATTGCATTGCCACCCATCTTACCTGCTAATAATGGCCAGAGGCATCCAGACTCCAGACAGCGATAAAGTTTTCTCAACACAGAGGACCAAATGTGAGGAACTAAACAAATAGAGCAGATGGTTGTTGTAGGTTTTTCGGGCTGTAGAACAGACTCCAGCATAGAAAACCTGAGGCAATAATTAGGATGGAGATAGCTATTTCTTTTCTATAAAATTGACCTTTTCCCAAGGACACATTCATTCTGTCTGTTTCTGTTTTGGAACCATTCTGGCTTTCCAGTGTATTTGATTCGCAGCCTGAATTGCATTTGAAATTACAGTCACTGCTCACACAGCGATTGTGGATTGATTTGGGAGTTAGCGGTTCATACTGGATGCACTATGATGCGCATTCCAGACCACAGCTGGTGCTTACTTACTTCCTTTCTTCCTCTGATCCTGCCTCTGCCAATCCTTCTAACGAGGCATAAATACAGGAAATAATGATCATGAAGACCCTATGAGGCACAAATACAGGAAATAATGATCATGAAGACCCATCAATAAAGTCATAGGGTGATCTAGTGCTACTTTCATATATGTAAGAATTTCTTTAATTAAAAAAATTGGAGGATAATCAGGGAAGACGAATTAATGCAGGACTGTGTTCCCCCACTCCTAAACATCATTCCCCAACTATTTATGTCACCAAAACACAGCCGACGGACACACACCTGCATCTTTGCAAGAACATATCACAACTAACTACGGGGGGGGGGGGGCGGTTCGCATCATTCTGAAAATAGAAGCCCCCAAGCAGCTTAGAAAGAAGCCACTTTGGGAGCAAGGAGGACTGGACTGGTTCGAATCAGCTTCTGTGTTAGATGATCAGTAAAAACATACTCTGAATTCACCTGTTTTATAAGCAGAGCAAATCCAGCAGTATTTGACCATGCAATCACAGCCTCAGCTGATCTTAAACTCTACATGCAAAATTTGTAATTTCTGTACAAAACTTCCTTTAATATAACTTTTTTTTAAAAAAAAAAAACACCTGCAAGCACTTTCAGCTAATGCAGGAGTACAGAATTATATGGGAGGGGCTGGATTTCTTTCCTCTGTGGTCCTTTGGGGGCTGGCTGACAACAGAAGGTGTGGCCACCACCTCTGCCGTCATTGGACTGCCACTCAAAGTTGGGGGAACACCCACTTCATGCTTCAGTGGGCAACTGAGGCTTTAATTTACAGTACTCATTTTCCCATTTAGGGAAGGTGGGGAAGGAAGATAAGAGATTGCGGTTGGTCCCTGCAGTTGAGTCTTGTCTACAGGATTCAAGCTGCCACTTGCAATTGTCTGCAGGGTGAGGTGGAAATTGAAAAGGGAGGAGGTGCAAAGTGCCCTCAGCCATTGCTTGTAAGGACCATCTGAGATTAGCTGCCTTGACTCCTCCTTTCTCTTCCCTGCAGAGAAAAGTGGGTGAAAAAGCAAAACGCTGAGAGGTACAAGCACTTGCAAATCCCAGCTGGCCATGTCATGGGCTTTGGTCCTCCTTCTTTGCAAAGATCAAAGACAGGAAGGAACTCCCTGCTGTTGCAAATCCTAGCTGACCATGTCATGGGCTTTGGTCCTCCTTCTTGTCTTTGCAAAGATCAAAGACAGGAAGGAACTCCCTGCTCTCTCCAATCAGTGATTGCAAGTGTAATCCAATCAGTGGGTCCTCCTTCTTGTCTTTGCAAAGATCAAAGACAGGAAGGAACTCTCTGCTCTCTCAGTGATTGCAAGTGTAATCCAATCAGTGATTGGAGAGAGAAAGGGATTTTTCTTATGGGTAGCTTTGAGAGGTGGAAATCAGTGGAAGGACAGGCCTTGTTAACAGAACTGTACATGCAAAAGTTAAAATCTCCAAGCTCTGCTCCTAGATTTGACGTACAGGTGGCGAACCACGTCTAGATGGAGCTTTGCGTCAGGACAAGTTCAAAGAGCCGTCTGAGGTTGCCCTGGGACAAAACCAGGAGCTGGAAGCAGGAGGCAAGACCAAAGGCACCACGAATACCCTGGAGCCAAAGAGACTTATGCTCCAAGCTCAAGTCGAATAGAAAGCCCTCTTACACTGCTCCCTTCCTAACAAGATCCAGTGGCTGGCCAGGGGAAGCAGAAATAGTCCAGGGCCCGTATTTACTTCATTGGAAATGATCATCAGTGTGATTTCTAGAGGGGAGTTGTTAAACTGTTGCAGCAAAAACAAGAAAGAATCTTGTTGCAACTTAAAAAATTGACAGATTTTATTTTTAAAGAAGACACACAACAAACATCACTTACACACACAAGCCCGAAGGCCTTCTGTGCAAAGGGACATACATTCCAGACACCACTACCTCATTTGCAGGGTATATGCAAACTGAAAATGAAAAAGTATGACTTTTCCTAAAGGAATTAGCAGCTCTGTTCCACCCATTGTTGCCAGTAAGAATCTTTTACAAAAATCAATGGATTTGTGTTAAAGGAAACTCATAGTATACATTTGTTAGTGTATAGGATTTCTGTTTCCAGAAATGAGCCTTGATGTTCCTGAGATTTGAACAGAGATACCACAACATTGTTGTTGTACCTCTTACTACAATACTGTGCTTTACTTCCGTGTAATCAAGGCGACCTCTAGTGGCTGGTAAGGAGAACTATGATACTATTCTCTACATGGGTGGACAGACAGTAATAGTCTGGTTGCCTGACCACATGAGGAAAGGGAGGAGCTAATCTCACCTTCTTCATCATTCTCCTCATGTGCAAAGTGATAATCTGAAATTGAGAATCTCTCCTGTGGGTAAAGGTTCTCCATATAATCTGAAATACTGAAAAAGCATGGTTTTCCAGATTTTTAGAGAGGCTGAGACATAAACAAACACTTTCTTCAGACTCTCATTGTCCACGTTACGTGATGAGGTTAGTCTGTTCCTTTTCCTCATGTGTTCAGGTTAACTATATTGTGAATACCTGAATACAGTAAGTTAGTCACGGTCCCAATGGCATATGAGAAAGGTAGTTTTTATGGAACCCCTCACCCTGGTTGGAAGAACTTTATTTTTCAGGATCTCCAATCACATTCATCTGAAAGGTAACACTGGAGAGCTTCATAGATAGTGTGGACTTCCGTAAAGACAAGTGGTTCTAGATTAAATCAAGCCTGAATTCTCTCCAGAAGCAAAAGGGATGAAACTGAGAGAGTAGTACTTTGAGCATATCATGAGAAGGCAAGACTCATTGGAAAAGACAATAATGTTAGGAAAAGCTAAAAGCAACAGGAGAAGAGCAAGGCCAAATATGAGATGGATTGAGTCCATAAAGGAACCCGTGGCCTTCAGTTTACAAGACCCGAGAAGGGCTGTTATGAGAGGACCTTTAGGATGTCTCTCATTCATAGGCACCATAAAATAAAAACAACTTGATGGCCTATAACAACAAATTTCATGAAAAGCCTCTAAGTGTAGCATTTTTCTCCTGAAGACTAACTCTCCACATATGAAAACAGAAATATAGGAGGGCCTAACACTCTCTCATGCATTCAAATTCTCATGCCTGGGTCTTTTAAGTATCAATGCCTAACCCCCGGCAACTGTTACTCTCTTACTGCATGATTCTCTAATTATACACTGGATTCCCCCCCCCCCACTAATCGTATTGCTGTAAGTGCACCCGTGAC